GGGGGGGTGTGATTACGTGTACAACAGAGAAAAAGCGGTGTAATAATCAGAGGCTCAAACTAGAGAATAGAAACATTAAAGCGGTTGATGATTAATCCATTTATCATCTAAACTGTATACCTGTGAACGGGAGCCAACATGCTAAATTACCTGTCGTTATTGCTTCATTATTCTCATCATTTGTTAACACCACACACATTGGTAATTGGTATTTTCTGGTAATTGTCACATGGGTGTGGTTAATGGTATTTAGGTAGTATGACAATGGGCGTGAGCTTAGCTGTGGGATCTTTTGTTGACTACGGTTCTGCTTGGTTATTGTCTGTTTATCTGTTTTATTTAAAATCCTTAAGTACGGAGTTTATTATAAAGACACGTCACAGAGATGAGCAAAGTTTAACCTCTAATCGGCTGCATTCATTGGGAACAAAGAAACACAAAAACAAACACACATGCCTTACATTTTCCTTGCCATATACTGTATACCTATATATATATATATATATATCACATGTTATACTGCCGCTCTCCATCCCCCTGAAACCCCCCCTCTACTGCACACCTGCTGACTCTCTCCCCGTCGACTCACTCCCTCTCAGCAGACTGTCGGCCATCTGTTCAGACGCTTTGACTTGTAGCTTCTCGCCCACCAGACTGTTTACCCTCTGCCTGATCCTTTATATTTCGCCCGCATGCTGGAGGACATATTCAGATGTTTAACTGCATTGAAATGACTAATAGACCACTTAGGAAAACCTAAAGAAAAGGAAAAGTCCTGGATTCAAAACCAATCAAAGTTAAAGTGAGTTTTATCAACTAAATGTACTTTTACTATCTGAACATTTTTTGACCAGTTTTCAGACTTTCTACTTTTATTGTTCGAGAGTTTTCACACATTTCTCAAGTCTTGTTTAAACTTGCGCTCCTATTGGCTAGCGCTCCAACACATTGTACGTGATAGGCTAAGGGGCGGGACATCTCTAAGCGGTTGCCCAATCACAACAAAGCTGGCCAGCTAACCAATCAGAGCAGACTGGGCTCTGGTTTCAGACAGAGGGTGAAAAGAGGTGAAGCAGCACAGACAGTATGAGAAAAATAAAGAGCTTTTTGAACATTAAAGCATGGAGACATGTCCCAGTAGAGACACTACATACTGAACCTGAAAATGAACAGAATATGTCCTCTTAAGATTTATTTTTCAACAAAAAAAGAAACTCCGCAGTTTTTGACTCCTGCTTCCCTTAGTTTGAAATAAACTTTCCGGGCCAAAAGATTGCACATGTACGTCATCCGGCAACCTGACTTCATGACCTTTGTATTTGCCAAAAAACTTTTCGAAGACAGTCATCACCCTAGTAGAAGAGTTATTTTGTAGAAACGACTACAAAAAAGCTCAGAAGACCCGGTTAGTCTTAGTTCTAACCACGGCTTCAGGGTGCCTCTTATTGAAACGCATCTTGATATAGAAATATGTGGTACCCATGTTGAAGTCTATTTCTACTTGTGTATTACTTTATACTGAACTTACTAACTGTCCAGTGTCTTGTTACCCTCGATATATGGGGAATGGGTGTTAAATTTCGATAAAGTGTGTCTGAGAGAGAGAAATGAGAAAGAGCGTCGTTCTACAGCTGTTTCACTGTTTTTTTTTGGGTTTTTTTTGGTTACCGTATTTTATATAATTATACAGCCAATCCTTTATCTAAATAAATAATATGATAGTAGTCTCACATCTTACGTATCTATACTTATATCTATTCATGCTGCACACCCACTCTAGGGGGTCTGGGGACGACCTTACACCCAAAGTCGTACACCACGAAAATTATTGTATTACAAGTCGAAACAGTGAGTAGAGTATTTGGATTAAAAATTTTCGTAAGAAAACAAGGGGGGGACCCCCCACCCTTCCCTATATTCCCTTATTAATACGGTGACATGAAGTGAAAATTAATTATAACATACGACTTTTCGCATATATAATGACGTCCTAAAATACAACTTATCTAAACTCACGAAGTTTAAAGCCGAGCGCTGATAACTGATTCCTTTTTCAAACAGGCTCCGAATGGTTCACTCTGGTGACAAATTTACAAAGTACGAGTAACCCGGACTTAGAGAGTCGACTACAGGGAGGAGGTCTATTAATAAGTTTAGGTTAATTGGGAGACGTCGAAGAAACGAGGCAATTAAAAGACAAAAACAAAAGGGAAGAGTCGGCGACTAGAAGAGACAAAGAGTGACACAAGTGTTGAGGGCACGAGCTGAATTACCTCGTAACTTATTAGTAAACCTAACTTTCGGAGGAATCCATTCGAAAAGAGGTGGCGTCCGTGTTGACACGTAGACGAACGTATATTCCGACAAAGGTCCTAGATAGTCTCGAAATACTCCGTCCGTCTCTTTTCTTTTCTCTCTCACACATTTGTCTCTCGCAGTCCCTTATGTAGGTCTAGCGTCAGTGACGAGTAATTTCTGAAACGAGTGACTCTACTGGCGACTTCTCCGTTGTGAAGATTTCGTATAAGATTGACATATAGGCTTCGTGTAACAAGTAATTTTATTATATACTACTTGGTAAGTAAACTAAGTAGTTCTCTCCCTGTTCAACAAATACTAGAACAAAATTGACTTGGCTGAAGTAGAGGGAATTTTATTCTCAGAGACGTCGTCCTTTCAGATTGAGGACGAGGACGACTCTGAAGCTGTAAAGAGGATTGTCGACGACCTTCATACAACAGAACCAAACGTCTCCTGCTATACTAATACGAGTGTAGACGTATGCTNGGGTGCAAAACGCATCAATGAAAGCGACCCTCTACCACACAAAACAACACCTGTAAATAACCCTATTTGTGTTCTTTGAAATTGAAAAGGATATTGTATTGTGTTTGTTACTTTCGTTGCAGTTGTATGTCTTACAGTAAGTGTAATTTGGCATGCTTTTATTTTGAAGGCGAGTTA